ACAATAAAACAGGAGAATGGTAAAAGAAACTTATAAAAAAAAAGTGAGAAGGAAAAGAAAAAAGAATTTAAGCTCTATTTTTTGTCTAATTTAAAGAAGGGGAGTTGAATTATGTATATGAAATTAAAAGATCTTTTCACATCTTTTAAAAGGTGAAGGAAAAAATAGTGTGAAAAACCAAACTGTCATTTTAAAACGCTCTAGTTTTTAAAAATCTGTATTTCTCCTTAAAACACAATTATTTTATTAAAATGTACATGAAATTGTGGAAAGAACTTTTAACTGAACTCCCTTTCTTTAAATTAGACAAAATAAAATTATGTCTAAAATTGGACTGAAACCTTACTACATTTCATTTAAAAAGAAAGAAAAAGTTAAAGTACAAATAATTTCAATGCTCTTTAATTTGTGGCTTTAGATTCTAATCGTAATCTAAACTAATAGAAGTATATTTATATTGTTACAGTTGACAAACAACAAAATGATATGATTGCTTAACTCAGGCTCAGTTTAATTTATATGTAAATGGTTCTGAATTTTCTTAGCAAATTTCTTGCATTTGTGCGTGCCCTTTTTATCAATTTCATTATATAGTAATTTTATTGAAGATACTTACAATAGTAAAAATACAAACTAAAAGAAAGAATAAAAAGTGAGAGTAGAAAGTACAGGAAAGAAATGGAAAAAAGAGAAGTAGAAATAAAAAATATACTGAAAAAAAGAAATATATAAAGAATGTCAATTTGGTTTTTCACACTATTTTTTTTCTTCATATTTTAAAATCTAGGTTGAAGAACTGCTGGAAAAATATATGGAGTTCTATGATATTGTTTTGGTGAAAGATGACTCTCTGGATGTGGCCAACTCAATCCTGCAAAAAATTTTGTAATATATTAGCATTGTTTTCCTTTAAAAGAACCCATTGGACAAATTTGCATGACAGCTATGAAAACAATAATCAGATGCTGCTTTCCACACTATTACCAGTTCAATTAGAAAGTACTGTATTCCTCATTATATTGCTCCATGCTATTGAAATATATTTCACTGTTTATTATCTCCCTATTTATTAATTTCAAAGGAAATATTGTTCATTGGAAAATATATCTTTATTTCTGCACAATAAAATTGATATTTTCAGCATTTTTATGGAAATGTTATAGAAAATAAGAGAAACATGTTGGGGGTGATAAAACAAATGATTTGATTAATAAATATCAAATCTTTTGAGGTTCAGTAGTACCAATTTGTGTAAATCACTACATTTTGATAAAGCTCACTGCTTTGTAATAGAAAGTGCAGTTGAATTTAAATATTTTAAAGTTATACTGGCTTAAACAAGGTTATGATGAAGCAGATATTTTAGAGTTTTACATTACTGTTGTTACAAAAAAATCATATTTACTAGTACTGAAATTTGAAAGGCAATTCTACAGAAATATATTTCATTGCATTATGCTATAAGTTAAACATGAATATCAAGTGCTAGAGTTCTCTTCATTACTTTTTCCCTTGCGCAAGCTTTCATGAAAACAAGTTTAAAAAGTGCTTTTATCTGAAAAAAAAAGTTCATCTATAAATTTCTGGCAAACTCTTCCTTCTCTCTTTTAAAAATAGACAAAACGTTATTGTTTTATTTTTTCTTCAGGAGCATGTTAATTTTCCAGTTACAAGCCACAACATTTTTCTCCTGTACAAGTATATCTCAGACATTCTGGATTGTCACTAGCTTCTAAACAAATATCAGATGTGAATTTGGACATGATAAGGACTGTTATAATGATTGCTGATTTACTCTTAAGAGGATAAGCTTATCAATCCAAAGTTCACAAGCATAGTTTGCAGGTGAAATACATATAAATAGAATTTGTTGAAGAAAAAACATCTAATTTCTTGTGGAATTCCATAATTTTGTTAGATGCCATCTGGAAGAGTGGAGAGGAAGAAAGAGAAAAGTGGAGCAGATAGGATATACTGCATGGGAGCTGCTATAGCCGTGGTGGCAAAATATGGCACGTGTGCCACAGGCGGCACGCAGAGCCATCCCTATGGGCACACGCGCCATTGCCACAGAGGGACGCAGGGCCGGGCTCTTCCCCTTCCCCTCTCCATGCATCTGGAGTCTGGGAACAGCTGCGAAAGCTGGGCAGGGTGAGGGAACCTATAAAAGGAGCAGTTTTGGCGGGAGAGTGAGTGAGCAGCCTTTGGAAGTGACCAGTGGTGGGTTTCAAATCATTTAACAACCAGTTCTCTGCCTCACCTTCCCTCCATCTTGGTCAGGCTGGGCTGCTCGGAGGTTGGCTGAGGGTGCAGTAGGGTGGGGGCCATTGGGTCTCTGCTGGAAAAAGGAGAAGTGGACTGGCTAGGTGGGTGCAGGAGGGCGATCACATAGGATTGCATAGAAGGGCTGGGGGGGGGGCAGTCAGCAGGGGGGAATCAGAGCCGCCATCTCCTTTGCACAGTGCAGCCCCATTGGCGTGAGACAGCCCCAGGATAGCTGGAAAGGAGCCCTCACCTGGTGCAGGCCCTGTGGCTCTGATGGGGCAGTGGCTGCTGCTCCTGCTGCTCTGAGCCCCTTGATCAGCCAACCACACAGGGAAGCAGGAGGCAGTGGCTTGATCCTTGCAACAGCAGATCTGAAAGCGAAGCTGTGCCGCCCATCCCGCGCCGATGGGGCTCCATGGCCAGTTCACTATTACACTATTATGCAAGACAGCCAGCATGCTGTGGCTGATGACGGACACCATCACTCCCCATGAGCTCGCTGGCCTATGTGTGGGGGCACACTATCACATTTTGGCAGTAAGAAATCCCACTAACCTGCCTAGAAAGGAAAATTTGTATTTATTTTTTTTTAAAACTAGCAGAATGGGAGAAAACAGAAGTTGCTGGACTGAAGAACAAGTTGGATTGATAATCTTCACATGGTCTCAGAATTAATTTATTGGAATTTCCAGAAGAAATACATATAGCAGGAGCCCCATCGGCACGGGCGGAGACAGCCCCGAGACAGCTGGAAGGAAGCCCGGCCCATTCACTCGACGGCTCTAACGGGCAGCTTTTGCTGCTCCGACCGGTCAACCATGCAGGGAAGCAGGAGGGGCAGCTGGTACGCAAAATCCGTTGCCTTGTTGGGCTGCCAGCGAGCAGTCGAGGCAACTCCAGACCCCTGGCTGCCCCTCCACCTCCTCCTGCTTCCTTGCATGGTTGACCGGTCGGAGCAGCAGCAGAAGCCACTCCCCTCAGAGCCATCAAGTTGATGGACCCAGGCTGAGCAAGGGCTTCCTTCCGGCGTCCTGGGGCCATCTCCGCCTGTGCCGATGGGGCTTTGTGGCCAGTTCGCCATTATGCAGGACAGCCAGCATGCTGTGGCTGCTGATGGACACCGTTGGCCCCATGCACTCACTGGTCTCTGTGTGGGGGCTGATGGTGTCAGGCAGCAGCTGCTCTGGCCCCTGCCTCGCCTTATCCCACAGGACAAGCCTTCGGCCCACAGCCCCACCTGCCAGAGACCCCCCTGGATCTCCCCCAATCCTGCCCGGCCCCCACAGGCATCCCTCCCCATGAGCATCAAGTTGGCCATCCCACCGTCGGCCATGCCCACCCGGCCCCAGCAATAAATAAATGGGTTTTGGGTTGCAATTTGGGCACTCGGTGTCTAAAAGGTTCGCCATCACTATGCTATAGGAATGTGGTTATTATGTACATTAGATTTGCCCTGCATATCCCACTGAGAATCATTTGGTGTAATGGTTAAGGCATCAGGTTAGAACCAGGAGACTGAGTTCTAATCCTGCCTTATAAAGCCAGCTGGATAACTTTGGGCCAGTCACTTTCTCTCAACCCTAGGAAGGAAACAATGGCAAACCACTTCAGAAAAACCTTGCCAGGAAAATTGCAGGATCCTGTAGAAGTCCAAGAATCAATCATGATTGCACAGGGGGAAAAAAATACAAAGCAACACTGAAGGCTCGGAAAATCTTATGAACAGTGAACTTATCCCATGCATTCCTTGATTCTAAAAGCTGTTCCAGGTTTCCTTTAAGGAAAATTTTGAGAATGTAAGTACTTGCTTTCCATTCAATGCAAAGTGCTTTTCATTTTATGCACTACCCAAGTAAATTTGTTTGATTTCCTTTTTCTAAAAAGTTCAATAACAAACAAAGGATGCATCTCATCAATAGTATAACTCTATTTCAATTATCCAAATTCAGGCAGCAACAAACTGTGATTGCTACTAATTTATAGCTGTAATTTCATATAATCCATAGGTCTATTTATCATCCAAATATACTGATATATATACTGGGACTGTGCAGCACTTCAGATTCCATATAGAAATGGTGCTTTGTAGAGCTCTGGGGCATGATTATATTACCACTCCTCAATATCTTAGACCAGTGCTTCTGTACCCTAGCAACCTTAAATATGTGGACTTCAATTTCCCCAGCCAGCATCTGGAAATTAAAGTCCACATATGTTAAGGTTAGTTGAGAAGCATTGTGTTACAGCAGTGGCACTTTTTCCTAAGTGGCTGTATATAATCAATGATACCAAAGAAACAAAAAAATGTTTTAGATAATCACATGCAAGCCTTAAATTCATTCACCTATGTCCTCTATATGTTTTTCAGATTGAACAACATAATGGACAGTTCTAAATAATTAGAAGCTATTTATACAATAACTTAGAGCAGACATGTCAAATTCACGACGTCATGTGACGTCGCGCAACGTATTGGGCCGGTTTTGCCATTGCCGGCAATGGGGTGGGCGCGGCTTCCAGATGATGTGTCTGGCCCGCAGGCCGGCAGTTTGACACCCCTGACTTAAGAGATTTTTCTTCAGTTCTGTTTCCCTCAATCTGTGGATATGATCTGATGTCATACAATGTATCCCAGTAACATCTAATTATACATATACAGGAAACCAAAGTACAAAAATTAACATCAATTATTTGCCTCTTCCCACTCATACATAAATAAAGCATCTTGTCCAGTGTCCTTGTCAGTATTTTATTTAATGATACCAGAATGTATTGCATTTGACAGAACGTGGTATTAGTGTTAATAGCACAGAAAACCCATGCAATTGTACTTGTTATAAAACTATTTCAAAAGGAGTGCTGTAAAATGAGCCCCTTTCTAAAATTATGGGTCCCATTATCCTGGGGAAGATACTTACACATTTTCTACTAGTGGTAGTGGCCTTACGTTCTTCCCTTCTTTAATAACTTTTTATCCTAATTTGTTTATTATTTAACTTAAAATATTTTATTGACAAAGCATGAACTGAAATTCACTTCAAATACTTTTGAAGAGTTGGATGGATTGACTATATTAAGTTACCCAGGTGCAATCAACACCTTCATGCATATTTTAATAATTCATTTTTATTTCTTTTTCCTAAAATATATAAAAGACAAACACGCATTTTTAACTATTCAATGAAAAACTGAACCATTGATCAACAGCTTCATACAGTAGAAGCATGATTTATGCAACCTTTATTGCATGGGTCATTCTTCTTTGCAGTGGAAAAGCAGAGCTTCATTGACATCCATCCTATTTTCACCAGATTTTGTTGAGTTTACGTGCAAGGTTTTTTTTATTTCTCTACTGCTGATAGCAGAGAACAGCCAATTTATTCCTTACTATTTAAATCACGTGATTATTGCTTTGGTAAAACAAAGCAGCCAACACCATAGCTCTAGTCTTAAGAGTTCTAACTTTTCTCTACAACTAAACACAGAAGACTCTCAAAGCAGTTGCTAATATAGACATGATCTAAGCAGTAGTGTAACCTTATTTTAATGATTGCTGTGGAGGTGGCAATACAAGCAGAATGGGAATACTTCCAGAAAGCTATGGCTAGGTGCAAAACAAGCTAAGGCTGCAGGCTGCCTATATCTGGTTTAAAATGATAAAAATTCATCACTTAGGAGGAAGGGAAGTAATTCATTACCAGAATAATTCAATTCTTAAGGAAGCATAAGCTTCTAATGCCAATGCACCAAATACTGATTTTAAAAATGTACAGATTTCCAAATAATTTATCTTCATTTTTTTCAGGATCTATTCCCATTAACTGTTATAGTGTGGTATACCACCAGAAAGTAACAATCCAGGGCAAAAGGCATGGTTTTAATTAGTTTAGTTTGTACCTTGTATCAAATCTTCAAAAATGTGGGTTGAACTGTGGAATCTTTGATGTTCTCTGAGTTTGTTTGCTTGCGGACATTTCATTACCCAACTAGATAACATCATTAGTATTAGTGTGTAGAGGAAGGGTTTTTACTCCTGTTTACAAGTATATACTGTCATTTGCCCTGTATCTCCATTAACACTGGCAGGGCAAGCTACTGCATATAATCAAAGAGAACACGCCCCCCCCCAACAGTAATAATGTTACCTAGTTGGGTAATGAAATATCTGCAAGCAACAAAGTTTAAAGAGCAGCAAGGACTCCATTGTCCTACTTTCTGTGTAAACAGACAGGAGGGAGTCACAGACAATTTTGCATGTACTTTTGCTTCTGGCCTTAGTAGATGGCCTTGATGATCTATTTGTTCCCCATTTCAACTAGAAATCACAATGGCTAATCTAAAAAAGATATAAGACAGTACAATAAGAAAATTGGCAAGCATTAAGTATTGCAGGCAAAAAGTGTGCCAAAAATGCCATGAAGTCAAAGAAACATCACAGTGTAGAAAATGTCCTGAACAAATAAAAAGCATTTGCAGAAAATAAGACAAGAAATTGATGAAGCCCCATTAACTCAAATAACGTGATCTCAGGCTTTTCCACATATTTTTGTTTCTGGAATAATGTTCAAGCTTAGGCCATTTTTTTCACCTCAAATCATGCAGCCCATTATAAATATTGAAAAAAGTACACAAATGTGAATCATATTAATTTGCATATGAAAATGTTCCAGTTTTTTTCCAGAAAATTCACATCTCTGAAAAAAAGCTGAATATGTCACTAGAGTGGGTTGCATATTTAAAAAAACCCATTACAATGGTTTTAAGGCAACTTGCATTTTTAATATAAATGTCATTAAAAAATCTTAATTTTACACCCTATTGTATTTTAATTAACACAAAGACATGTTCATTTCCACATCCTTTTTAAGTGTGCACAGGGATTTCAAATCATTTCTATGGTATATACACACTAACAGCAGTTTGGCTCATAAATTTTTTTTTAAACCAACTAAGTTACAGTTCATCATGTCCCTGTGGCTCCTGGTCTTTCAGTTTGAATTCTTCAGAAGTAATCTTGCCATCTCCATTTCGGTCCTGATTGTTGAACATATTTTTCACAATTGTTTCAGAATTGTAACCAGGGGCTAGCTTTCCTTTGCCAGAGTTGACTTGATCATGGATATATTTATTGAACTAGAATTTAAATGATGAATAAGAATAGGAAATAAAATGAGCTTTGATATTGTAATTTAAAAGCTGCATATATCAGAATGCATTTCCATACTTCTGCATTTAATACTAAGATACAATAATAATGCTGGTCTAAGTGGTCTAAGCTGCAAAAGCTTTTGTGTTGATGTCTTTTGAGGTTTTTATAGCCCAATGCCACACTATACAGAATTGATTTTACTCAAGTTCTTTTGAATCGTGCTCATTGTATGACTGATTTCTCATCTTTGCAAAGAAGCTTGGTCTTTCCAATTTCAACTGCAAAATTTGCATGCAACTTTCTAATTGACATGTCTGCTTACTTCCAGCAGCAATTTTGTTGGCATTATATTAGCATATTAAATCTTTAAAGCTGACATGAAAAAAATTATCCTTTCTGGTTTTTCCTGATCTTGGTTAGTGAATATAATTACTCACAATATGGAAGAAGGGCATTAACAGTATTGATCAGATTTCTCATACCATTGCAAAACTGACACTGAAAAAAATTCACTACCCTATCTTTTCTTCTTTACCGAATTACAGTATAGATAGTGTGCCAGACTTAGTTCAAATTAAGTTTAAAAGGCATGGGAATGTTAATTTTTTTCTAGTATATCAGTATGAATCGGAGTTTTCACAAATTGCAACCTCACCGAGAAAACAGCAACCAAAAGAATAAATTGAAATGGGAAGTGAAAATTACTGCCTCACAATGAAACCCACTTTTCAGAACTAATACAAAACTAAGCAAAATCATCCCACCCCTTAACTAATAAGGTTTTTATTTTATTTTTTTACCTTCCAAACAAAATGTTTTAGTATTGTATAAAAAGGTATGGTTCTGCCATTTTTTGCAATTTATCAATTAAAATTTAATAATTAAATTTAATAATTTATTTTTGCCTAGCCATAACACAAAAAAGGTAGTTAATTTTATTCATGAAAAGATAGCCATTTATCATGTCTGGGGCATATAACATAATGTAATATAATACATTATACTGTACTAATACTATAAAATAAAATTTACATTGTGGTTTGAGAAGTAGATAAAAGAACCACTACAGAACATAGTATACCTAAGAATTTGTTGCTATCCATCAAAGAAAACCCTTATAAACCAGATTTTCTCCCCTCCAAAATAGCTTCTTACTTCTTCTAGAAGAATTTCTCCATTGTTATCCTTGTCTATTTCTTCAAAGAGGTTTGGCGATACTTCATCATGCCACACAAACATATAGCCCTCTGGTAAGCCAGATACTAAATCAAGCAGCTCAATGTCAAACAGTAACACAGCACTTCCAGGCACTTCTCCTTCTGCCACATAAAATGACAAAAACCAAATCTTAATATTTGCTTTTGGGAACATTTTGTTTTGCTCTATATTTTCAGTGGCATTAGGCAGTTTTCCAGCTAAGTAGCCACATGTTAACATTTTTAAAAATGTCTTGCAGAGGGCATGACAAGTAATTTAGTGGTATCACCAGGAAGCAGAACTGAAAATGATCTATTTTGCGGATTTCATAGATAATGAATATGAAAAATAAGTTTCCAGAAGACTTCATGAAAGATCAGGGATAATGTAGAGGGTTGGAAGTGGGAGACAGAAATTCACCCCTAGCAGAATAAGCAAGTTATGCTATAGATCAGGGCTTTTCAACCGGTGGTACCCATACCACCAGTGGTACTTTAGCACCTGGCAGGTGGTACGCAACCCCTAGCCAAGTGTAGCAGGGGAGAGAACCAGCTAAAGTGGTGCTGCACAGACCTGGAGGAGGTCAGCTGGAGCTGCAGAGCTTGGCAGAAGCCCCAGGATTGGCGCACATGGCGACATGGTAATGGGAGCTTCTGGCACACCCGGAAAAGAAAAAGAGGAGGAGGGCGGAGAGAAGTATAAAAGAGGCAGGTTTTGGCGGGAGAGGAAGAGAAAGTGAGAAGAGGCTTTTCTAATCAAAGCAGTAAGGAGAGACAGAGCGAGTTGCCTGTTTTTGGAGGAAAGGTGAGCGAGCGGCATATTTAGTGAGCAGCATGTTTTTGGGGGAAGGGCGCATGAGCGAGCGGCCTGTTTTCGGGGAAAAGCTGAATGAATGAGCGGCCTGTATAGCGAGCGGCATGTTTTGGGGGAAAGGGTGAGTGAGCAGGGCAGGAGCCCCAGGATTGGCATGCGCTTCTGCAGGGCTATGGGGGCTCAGCAGGAGCCCAGGATCGGCGCACACAACTACAGCTGATCAGTACTTCTGCTGAGCCCCTCAGAAACACCAATCATCTGGAGCCTGGTGCTAATCCTGGAACTTCTGCTGAGCTACCAAGAAGTATCAATCAACTGGAGCCCGGCACTGATCCTGACGCTTCTGCTGAGCCCCTCAGAAGCGCTGATCAGCTGGATCCTGACGCTGATCCTGGTGGTTCTGCTGAGCCCCGAAAAAGCGCCAATCAGCTGGACCCCAGAGCTGATCCTGGTGTTCTGCTGAGCCGCCCAGAAGTGCTGATCAACTGGACCCCGGCGCTGATCCTGGTATTTCTGCTGAGCTGACAGCCCTGCAGAATCGCCAATCAGCTGTCAGGGCTCAGCAGAAGTTCCAGGATCAGGGAAGGAAGGAAGGAAGGAAGGAAGGAAGGAAGGAAGGAAGGAAGGAGATGGGGATGAGGAGGGGAGGAAGGAGATAGGAATGAGAAGGAGGAAAAAGGTAGGGGAAGAAGGAAGGAAGGAAGGAAGGAAGGAAGGAAGGAAGGAAGGAAGGAAGGAAGGAAGGAAGGAAGGAAGGAAGGAAGGAAGGAAGGAAGGAAGGAAGGAAATGGGAATGAGAAGGAGGAGGTAGGGAAAAAGGAAGGAAACCCTTCCCTCTACAGTAACCACAATGCTAATGCGGCCCTCAATGAAATTGAGTTTGACACCCCTGATATAAAAGGTTGTTAAGTGAATCTGGTTTCACCATTGACTTTGCTTGTCAGAAGGTTGCAAAAGGGGGTCACATGACTTTGAGACACTGCAGCTATCATAAATATGAATCAGTTGCCAAGCATCCAAATGTAAATCACATGACTCTGGAAATGCTGAAATGATCATGTGTGAAAAATGGTCGTAAGTCACTTTTTTCAGTGCCATTGTAACTTCAAACAGTCACTAAGCAAACAGTTGTAAGTCAAGGACTACCTGTACTTTATCACTTTTTTCCTTTTTTTTTTTTTTTTTGATCATCAAGTTTTTGACACCTTGCTAGGCGACTGGTGGTACTTGGATATTGTCATATCCTAAAAGTGGGACAATGGGTGAAAAGGTTGAAAATCCCTGCTATAGATACTATTTCAGCAAAGAATGATAGAATGCAAAAATTAGATCAATTGAGTCAATAATGGATGCTATCATTATTTTCTTACTAAAATATGTGATTATTTTTAGGCTTAATTTTTAATGCAGTCATTTGTTCACTGACAATGCTTATCTCATTGCTTTATGACATGAGACTACATAGCTCATTCTAAGAGGTTCATTACATAACATGCATAAGACAATTCTAGATGTGGACAATATTATTTCTATGCTAATTTTTGTTAAATTGAAGTTCAAGTCTTATTTAATGAATAAGATCTCTCTTCAAAATTATTTGTTATACAGTTCCAAATAATTTTGTTATATCATTCATTCATTTAAATTTATTCTGAGAGTAGAAGATAGGAAAAAGGGAATGAATCATATTGGAACTGCCTATGGATCTTTAAGTACAGTTTAACAAAGTGCATATGGAAGAGACTGCACCACCTCAGGTGAACTCAGAAGAAATTTGGATCAACTCACATTAATTTCTTTACTTCAGTACACTTCAGTATTTAAACGTCTTTGAAAATTATATACTTACCAACTCCAGCTTCTCCATAACCAAAGTGAGGGGGAATAACAATTCTTCTTTTTTCTCCCACACACATATTTCTAAGACCTATATCCATCCCCAGTACAACTTGTCCAGAACCTAGAACTATATTATATGTTTTCCCAAGCCTAACCCTGAAAAAGAAAATTTTGATTCATAAAAATAATGAGCAACTCGTCCAATTTTCTAGCATTCTATTTACATGCAATGAACTATATTATCTTATTACTGATAGCCTGTTTTGAAGAAATCCAATGAAAAATGAGTTATATAGAAATCTAATGATCTAAGAGTGCACAAGTCTTCAGGTGTTCTTAACATTTAGGGGCTAATATTTAGATTGAAATGGAAAATCTATCTATTCATACAATGTTAAACCACAAAACTATTGCAAAACCCCATTTTACAATAACATTCTATCCCACCTCCTAAGCATGCTTTTTGCTATTCCTACTGTACTTTATCTTAGCATGCTGGCACAGAACAATATGTAGCAGTGGTCTGCAACTATCATTTTCATCTCGTAAGAAAATTCATGGGAACAGTTGAAGCCCAGAGTCATTTTTGAAAATGAAGAAAATGGAAATATTTTGCTGTATAGCATGTCAGCTTCTCATTTTTATTTAGCATTCAACATATTATATTACATATTATTCTACCACCTCTTAGGTGGTAGAATAGGCCAGGCCATGGCCTATTCTCAACCAGGCACATGTGTGGGGGACCGGCATGCACAAAGGTTTCTCTCTTGAGTAGAGTTGTGCATGCACGCACGCCTGCCACCGCTCACATGGCGCAGTTCGCCTCTCCCTCCCAGCTGGGCTGCCAAGCCACAAAGGTTGGGGACCACTGACTTACAACATTAGGCAACACAATATCAACAATAGAGACTTTCAAATATCTGGGTTCTATAATCTCCCAGGACTTGAAATGGACACCTAACATTATAACCATTATTCAAAAAGCACCATTTCCTGCGCCAACTCAGAAAGCTCAGACTGCTGGTAACGTTCTACAGAGGAATTATCGAGTCTGTCATTTTTATTTCTATAAACTGTCTGGTTTAGCACAGCACCCAAATAGGACAGATACAGACTTCAACAGATAGTTAAGTCTGGAGAAAAAACTATTGAACCAGCCTGCCTTCCATTGAGGATCTGTATACTGCACAAGTCAGAAAGAATGCTGAGAAAATATCTACAGACCCCCTCACATCCTGGACATAAACTGTTTCAACTCATCCCCTCAGGATGCCACTATAGGGCACTGCATGCCAAAACAACTAGACACAAAGACAGTTTTTTCACCAAGCCATCACTCTGCTAAACACATAATTCCCATAGTGCTGTCTTATGCCTAAAGATATCTAAATATGTATTGCTATTATCAGTCTCATTTTTCTTATTACTTTCTCCTATTGGTATCCTATGATTTATCACTTTGTCATTAGTATCTAATGATTTATCACTTTGTTGTTTGTATGTATTCCTTGTGTATCCAATCACATTTGGCCAATAAAGAATATTCTGTTCTGTTCTATATTAGGTGAAGTAGGGAAAGCCAGCTGATATGAAACAAAGAATCTGAAGGCACCATAATACCACTGGGCATCCTTAGTGGTTAAGGCACCAGGCCAGAAAGCTGGAGAACTTAAGTTCTAGTCCTGCTGTCATGAAAGCCAGCTGGGGAAGCTATGGCCAATCGTTCTCTTAGCCCAATTCATCCACAGGGTTGTTGATGTGAGGAAAATAGGAGGAGGGAGGTTGTTGGTTTTCTTTGTTGCCTTGAGTTATTTGTAAAACCAACAAAAGCAGGGCCTGGAGATAGAAAAACAACTTCCATTGTTTATTTTCATAATTTATAGACCTTTTGTCTACATGCAGGACATCACACACTTCTTTCAATTATATTAAAGAATGCAAACAGCTAATAAAAAAAGGAACCATGTCTTGAGCCACATCTGGTTTTTTTTTAATTTTCATTCTTGCAGAATTATTTATGGCCAGATGATATACTTACGTTGAGTCTAATAAAGTGCCATCTAGGAGAGAAGCATTGTAATGATACTTCAAGTAATCGCCTTTCTTGCTTAGCACTGAACAGTTAGTAGGTTTGTAATAGGCTGTAACAGCAACTGAATCTGAAGGGTTGTGAAAATCTATCACATGAACTTCAAATACCAACACAGCTGATCCTGGAATGTTTCCTACAATAACAAGCAAGCACATAGTAATAGGCTGTTCACCTTATTCATTTTACACCTTGTAAACAACAAAATCATCTATTGAAAATTGATACTATGAAAATAAAGGTGTGGTCAAAGCATCTGCAAAGACTCTCCTGAATTATGCTAATGTTTGTGCCATTTTGTCCTTTTCCAACTGCAAAAAAATATGTGTACTTCCACAATCATTATATTTGGGGAGATTACCATAGTTACCCATTTTGGAAGTGCAAATGTACCGAAGAAAAATAAGCAAGCTTAGAAACCTAGTGAAATGGGGCGTTGTCTTACCTGAACACCTTTTCTCAGCATGAAGATGTAGCATCCACCGATGGGTAATCTCAGCCTTCCTGTTCAGTTTACACTAAGACAAAACTTTAGCCACACCTCCCTTGGGCGGACCTTTCCCCAGTTTTGACGAGGCGAAGCATACGTGAGGTCTGACACAATAGCTCCTCCTGTAAGAAATCTGCCTAGATTAGCTGTTAAGGGTGGGTGTGGATGCTACATCTTCATGCTGAGAAAAGATGTTCAGGTAAGACAACGCCCCTTCTCCAGCATGATAGATGTAGCATCCACTGATGGGACATACCAAAGCCACCCATGTCCCTGCCGGGAGGGAAGTCTAGGCTTGTGATTCATGTGTAGAAACTACCTGCTGCAAGACCCTCCTGCCGAAAGAGGCGTCAGATGCAGCGAACTTATCAAGCTTATAATGCCTTATAAATGAAGAGGGGAAAGACCATGTGGCTGCCCTACAAATCTCAACAGAAGCCTGGGTTGACCAGGCCGCGGACGTGGCCACACTATGAGTCGAATGAGGTGTAATGTTGGCAGGAACCGGGAGAGACTGAATCTTATATGCATGGGATATGCACGCCCTGATCCATCTTCCAATGGTTGAGGATGACACCTTCAAACCCATGGAAGAAGGTTGGAAGGACACGAACAGTGCTTCCGTCCTGCGAAATGTTGCAGTTCGTTTTACGTAGTGATGCAAAGCCCTGCGTACGTCTAATATGTGCCACAACTTTTCAAGGCGATGAGACGGTCGTGGACAAAAATTCAGGAGAACCAGATCCTGAGACCTATGGAACCAGGTATTAACTTTCGGGATGAAAGAAGGATCCAATTTGAGGATCACTCTGTCATCCAGAAAAATGCATAGGTCACACCTGACCGAGAGCGTGGCCAGTTCCGAAATGCGTCTTGCCGATGTGATGGCTACCAAAAAGGCTATCTTCAAAGAAAGAAAGTGTAGGGAGCAAGATCTAATGGGTTCAAACGGTGACCCAGTGAGGACCTGAAACTCTTTTGGCAAGTCCCATGTAGGATATCTATGTACCACAGGGGGACCAGTGTTAACGGCTCCCTTAAGGAAGGCCGTAACTGCCGGGTGATGTGATAACTGGACCTGATTCTCACAAGTAAGCACCGTGGATAATGCTGCAATCTGTCTGCGAATGGTATTATGAGACAGTCCTTTGTTCAGGCCCTCCAAAAGGTAGTCTAATATGATCAGGATAGTGACAGCCAACGGGTCAATTTTTAGAGAGTTACACCATGTGCAGAAATGTCCCCACGCGGCATCATACATCCTATTGGTTGAAGGACGTCTGGAGGCTTGAATTACGGTAATCACTCCAGATGAATAGGACTGCTTAGACAAGCTCTTCTGCTCAAGTGCCAAGCGGCTAGTTGAAGCCACTGTGGTTCTGGATGTTGGAGTTGACCCTGACTGAGTGCGATATGATCTGGTGGGATCCTCCACGGCGGGGAGATCGATAGATCCACGAGGTCAGCAAACCAAGGCCACCTTGGTCAGTGTGGGACCAGTAAGATTAATTCTGCCTGCTCTAAGAGAAGCTTTTGAATGATCGCTGGGATCAGTGGAAGTGGAGGGAATGTGTACAGAAGTCCCCTGGGCCACCTGCTGTGGAGAGCATCCATTCCCTCCACCCCCCCGTGACGGAAACCTCGTGAAGTATCTGGGCAGTTGAGCGTTTGCTGGTGAAGCAAACAGGTCCACCTGAGGCAGTCCGAATTCTCCAAAATTTCCCTGAATAGGGCTGGATCCAAGCGCCACTCCAAGTGGTCTACCATCGCCCTGCTCAGACAATCGGCTTGGCAATTCGCTTCCCCAGATATGTATTCTGCACTGATGGATTCCAGATTGGACTCTGCCCACAGACCCAGTGCCAGGGCGTCCTGCATGAGGGACCAAGATCTGGACCCTCCCTGCCTGTTGACATGGGCTTTGGCTGCGACGTTGTCCGTCATTATCAGGACGTGTTTCCCTGTTACTATGTTGGAGAATTGGCAAAGCGCCAGGTGTACTGCCCTGAGTTTAGCCAATTTATGTTGTGTGCTAGATCGGACTGGGACCATTGGCCCTGTGCCATCTGTGTCTGTATGTGTGCGCCACACCCGAACAGACTGGCATCCCTGGTCAGGACGAGTCTGTGAGGTTCCTTGAAAAGAGACCCAGTGTATAGCTGCCAACGCCCACCATTGGAGTGACAGCAGTGTGTGATGTGGAACCCTCACCTTCCGTGTGGAAGCACTCATGTTCCGCTTCTGGAAAGGGAGTAGGAACCACTGGAGATGTCTGGAGTGAAGTCTGGCCCATGGTACTATTCCCAGATATGAAATCATCTTTCCCAACAGCTGAGACAGCTGGACAAGTGGAACCACCTTCTCTCTCTGGAACTTGTGAACTAGAGATCTGATGCTGTCCTTGCGTTCTTGGGAGAGATAAACCCTGCATAGGTTTGAATCTATCACTGCTCCTAGATGTAAGATCCAAGTGGTCGGAGTGGTGTGGCTCTTTTTGAAATTCACAGAGAAGCCGTGTCTCTGGAGTGTATCTATTGTGGTCTGTAAATCTATCTGGACAGAACGGAATGAACTGGATTGGATAATTATATCATCCAGGTAGCATTGCACTCGCACCGGCATCGGTCTGAGATGGGCCGCTAATACCGCCAGTAGCTTTGTGAACACTCGAGGAGCCGAGGATAGGCCAAAGGGCAGGGCCCTGTACTGATAATGTCTGCGCGCATAGCAAAACTGAAGGAATCTGCGGTGATGGGGTCGGATGGGGACATGAAGATAAGCTTCCGTCAAATCTATGGAGGAGAGGAAATCTCCCTTCCTGATGCTGGCCAGAATGGACCTGAGGGACTGCATCTTGAACCTCCTGTAAGTTAGGAAGTAGTTTAGTCCCTTCAGATCCAAAATCGCCCTCCAGCCCCCGAGGCCTTGGAGACCACGAAGAGTATGGAGTAAAACCCCTTTCCCCTTTGGTCCAGAGGTACTGGTTCTATGGCCTCTATATCTAACAAGTGGATATGGCTTTGGCTATTAACTCGGCCTTGCTTGTGTGCCTTGAAGATGGACACTGAATGAAGTGATCTGGGGGGAATGGATCTGAATTCTAGGGCTAGACCGAATCTTATGGTCTCCCTTACCCAGGTGTCATTGGTAGTGACCTCCCAAGTGTCGCTGAACAGAGCTAAGCAACCGCCTATAGGAGGATCCAATTTGGCGTCACTTAGACTTCCTGTATGGGTGACCCCCAGCTCCTCTGAAGGGATGCTTGGTTTGGAATTGACCCCTGGTTCCTGAACTTTGGCGGTCCTATTGGCGATCCTGTCTGGGGAAAAAGGATCGGGAATCTCTGGGCCAATCCCAGGACTGCCCTGATCGAAAGACCTGCCTCCATTCCCAAGAACTTCCGGCATGAAAGGACTGCCTGCGAAATTGTTGTTGGGGTCTCCTATCCACCTTCTTGGAGGGGTAAGCCAAGGTCTTTTGCTTGTCCTTCCCTTCTATTCGGTACGGTTCCAATACCGGCCGAACAAATGAGCACCACTGTAGGTGTCTGTAGCTAGACACCACCTTGATTTTAGGTCAGCCCTCCACTGTTTAAGCCACAACAATCTGCGTGATGCCACCGTGGTCGCTATAGATCTGGCGGAGTATTTGGTCGAGTGGAGGAATGTATCTGCCATGTATTCCGCTGCAGCTACCAGCTTACCTAAGGTCTGTTGTGCACGCACCTGATCCGGAGGGATTAGAGCCTGTAACTCATGGAGCCACATGATGGAAGTCCTCGCGAAAAAAGATGAGGACGTTGCTACCCTGATTGCCCAGGCCGAGGCAGAGGGAAAACTCAAACCTTTTATCCTCCGCTTTGAGAGTCTCCGCCATATCTCCAGGAATCGTGGAGGTGGAGAACAGTGAGATCAAGGGAATGTCTACTGTAGGTACCTCTAGGAGGAAAGAAAATGTAGATGAGACATTAAATAGTTTCTTTTCCGTGCTATTGGGTGGAGGTAGAGTGGCCAATGAAGTCCACTGCTTCTCCACCGTAGTGCGGAAAACCGCTGGGCAAGGCAGCTGTTTCTCCTCCACAACCTGTACCACAAACAAAGGATTAGACTCCTGTGCAGTGGAGGTAGATGGTTGAGGCTCCTGCTCTGTAACCAAATTGGCCATGGTGCAAGCCTTTAACAATAGTGACCTAAATAGAGAAGGATCAAAAAGACCCGATGTTGGGGTCGGATCCGGAGCCACCTCTTCATCCTCTGACATAGGGCTGTCAGTTGTCTCCAAGTCCACAGACTCAGCCTCACCTAGCTGAGACGAAGTCTCAGAAATATCCGAGCCCGCTGACTGCAGCTGCCCAGTATGACCTACGGACAAGGGTTGAGGAGGCGGTATCTGTGAACACCTTTGTGCCATGGAAGATGACATAAATTGATCAAAGACCTGGTGCATAAAGGTCTGGAACTGTTGTGCCCATAAGGTATGCTCTGCTGAACCAACACCAGCTGCAGTGGTTTCAGAAGCCTGTCAAGTGATGGTAGCAGACGGAGCCGAAGGTACAGGAGGAGGTGGAGGAGTAGAAGAAATAGGAGGAGGGAGACCAACCTATTCAGTTCCCCCTTGAGGAGACCAAGCTCTGGGACCTGATAAGACGGCACCAGTGGAGGCTCAAATGGCGAGTTGTCCAGCGAAGCAGGGGGAACAACTTCAGTTTCACTAGACCTGAGCCACTGAACTTTGGAGAATTCTCTCTCCAGTGCCAAATGTCTCCTCGAGGCCTCTCGTTCAGCAGCCTTGTAAAGTTCTTTGGTGGCCAAATGCTTGGTCTTGGCATTTTTCTTTCCCCCCGTGCTCAAATCAGAAGATCTGCATTTAGATTGTGCGGGGGGAACATCAGAACCCTGCGATGTCTGAGGAGTATCACCATCTGCCATTGCGCACTGGACCTTCCAGATAGGAGATGCCCAGGAGTGGGGGTAAAAGCACACAGATCAAGTTGTCCAGGAGGGAAGTTTCCCACGCCCTGAACAACGGCAATGACAAACAGTCAGACAGCTCACTAGAACTGTCCGCTTAGGCCTTGCGACACAGCACCGCGAGCTAAAAGAACAGGTCTTCCAAAATTTTCCCTCGGAATTATCAACTGATAATATATGTAATCAAAGATATCCTCTAATGGGGCTTGCGCCTCTTTTTCTATTGAATCCTTGAATTGGAACTGATATTTAATAACCTTAATATACCCCCTTGAAAGCCTAGCAAAGCGGGCTATTCGAAAAAGTAACGGCCAGATCTAGGCCTCAATCCACCTTCTTTCAAGATGGCGGCCGCACCCAAGTGTGGTTCAAAATGGTGGCCACTAGTCTCTTTACTGCCCAAAATGGTGACCTCAGAGATAATTGGTCTTTGCAAGCCTTCTTTTTCTAGAGCCCAAGGGAGCTTTGACAATTAGCCTCTATTTCCCCTTCTTATTTATAAGGCAACAAGACTTGCGGTTAAGCTGCGCAGCCCTCGCTGTGATCAGATTCCAGTCGGGACCTCGTGGCCCCGAGGTAGTCAGGCTGCAGCCTGGCCGGCCACTCCGCTCGCTTCCAAAATGCCGACGATGAAACTGTGTCTGTTTGCCCGTCCGGCAATCTCCGTCATCGCGAAAATCAGCTGGGGGGAGCTGATTTTCCGAACCCTCCTGCGCGGCTCCAATAGATCCCCTGAGGCCATGCAGGCCTCCTGGAAAAGAAGCTCTAACACCAATTAAACTCCTACAAATCTGAACAATTACAATTGCCAAATAAAATAAATGAAATCCTGAAACAAAAATTCTTCTCTCTATCCTGAAAAACCTCTTTTGAATTAGCCTAACTGAGGAGCTACAGAAATTGTGTCATACTGAGCTGAGACTAAGACAAAAACTGGGGAAAGGTCCGCCCAAGGGAGGAGTGGCTAAAGTTTGGTCTTAGTCTAAACTGAGCAGGAAGGCTGAGATTACCCATCGGTGGATGCTACATCTATCATGCTGGAGAATGTATTTTTTTATTGGGTGAATTTGCAGCTAAAAATTAGTGAAAGTGATTAGCTTTCATTTAATGGGCTTTAGGAAAAATCACCTGCTTCTGCATTTCCAACAGAAAGTATGGATTCTCACTCATTGTCCAAAAGGTGCTTTTTCAAGAGGCAACCGGACTTGTTTTTCTTTGAAGATATTTCGCTTCTCATCCAAGAAGCTCCTTCGGCTTTGACTGAATGGTGGGGAATGGAAGGATTTATATTCCTTGCAGACAGCTGGTCATTTGCATTCTTTTAGTGAGTCACTGAGGCCACTTGGAGGTTTATCTGTGTCCTCAAGGTGCAATTAGAGTGGTGCAAATAGGTGTGGAGCCTTCTTGGAACTGCTGAATGAAGACTCCACACCCAATGCTCATCCAGTCATTGGTATTAAAAGTATTGGTATGCAAAGATCCCAACGTGTCTTCCTTTTTCTGTTCTTCCCAATTGAGAAAAACATCACCCCTTTTGCGTGTCTAATATAGGATCTTTTATATTAATATAATGATTTTATCTAATCATTCCAAAGATGTAAAAAGCTCCTTTTGTATCTGGCTAACGTTAAGTGACAAAACATAATAACAGGATTGTTTCCAGATAACTTGAAAAAGGCATCCATTCTCTCCAAAGATAGAACTATTGTTAGCATCTACAAAACCTAAAAGAAAAAAGATTTGCCTAGGGAGCTCACTAGCTGTGGTAACTGTCACTAAACTTTTGTGGGGGGGGAAATGTGTTACTATTTCTTTCAATTACATATCTATTTCTGGATATGTTGTAGGTAGGAGAAAATGTTCTTCAAGCAAGTACTGTCAAATAAGCCATGATTCACTGATAACTTCTACTGATCCCTATTCTACCATTTGTAATAGCAGAATTCACTATAAATTTGGTACAAATCTCACATGGAATCCAGGAGTCAGGTTCATTGACTTTATCACTCTTGATCCTGGAACACATGCTTAAATCTATATGCTATATATACTAAATATACTAAAATAGTAACTGAGCTGCAGGACATTAGTACTTAAGAAAGCACCTGAAATAAAACTTATACTCACCTCTTCCCTCTTCTCCATATCCAAGATGAGGTGGTATTATTATTCTCCTTTTCTCTCCAACACATGCTCCAAGCAAACCTTCATCTATCCCAGCAATCACATAACCTTTGCCAATGTAGGTGTCATAGGTTCGATTTCGTGAGTAACTACAGAAAATACATTGCTTTACTGCAATTACTATCAATTGTACCACATTTACAATTTACTGAGTATCATGGCAAAAATATAGATGTAATCTATATATAATTTAGTGTATGTATATGAATGAAGAGAGAGAGAGATTCATTCCATGTACACACTACCATCATCCCATCTGTTACACTAGAAAAGCTTATTCAGCGAATGGAGCATTTGCTTGTAAAATAGTTTTATTAGAATAACTTCAGCCAGGAGCATATTAAGTAGTGATGGGTTGTGGCCACAATACAGCAAACTAAAAAAATCCTTGATTTTCAAAGCCTTAAGTGTATGTTATTATCCTTTAGGGCAGCGGTTCTCAACCTGTGGGTCGGGACCCCATTTGGGGTCGAACGACCATTTCACGGGGGTCACCAAACAACGCAGTCCGCCATTTTTTCCCCTTTTCCTTAGCTGTGCTACTCCCTTTTATTCTATTGGCTTTTGAAAGCCAATAGAATAGACTCTCTTGAATAGAGTCTAATTCTATTGGCTTTCACAAGCCAATAGGAATTGTCCAGGCTGTCTCTGCCCTGCTGAGCCCACCAAAAGTCCCATTCTGCAAACGGTGCTGCAAGTTGTCTGCAGCGAAGGCGAGCTGTCTGGAAGTTTCCACCCCTCCCTGCTGAGCAACTACTAAAAATGTAAGTAAAAGAGGGCTGGGGGGCGCAGGGAGGGTTGCTGGCGCGCGTGGGGCTCAGCCGGTGCTTTACCTCCCTTGGGCTGGGCCAGCTGGTGGCCCAGCCGGTGGTCGGCCTGTGCCGTCTCTGCCGCTTGCCAGCTACGCCTCGGCTGGCGCAGGGGGCAGCACCACGCATGGGTGGTGCTCCCAGGCAGGGAAAGTCCTCGACTTACGACCGGTTGGGTAGTCCTCTACTTACGACCAGTTGGGTAGTCCTCGACTTACGACCGGTTGGGGGTCGCGGCATTAAAAAGGTTGAGAACCACTGCTTTAGGGTCTTTTTGCCACAGTTGTTAAGCAAATCATTGCAGTTATTAAGTGAATCACATGATCATTAAGCAAACTCAGTTTTCCCCAATGACTTTGCTTGTGGGAAGCCAGCTGAGAAGGACACTTGCTGGTTGCCAAGTGAACAAATTTTGATCACGACTGTGGAGATGCTGTGATGGTCATAACTGTGAGGACCAATTATAAGTAACTTTTTTTCTCAGTGCTATTGTAACTTCAAATAGTCACTAAATGAATGGTTGTAAGTTGAGGGCTACCAATATAAGAATTAAAAAGAAGACTTTCAGAGTTTCTGAAAAAGCTAGGAAGCCATTAAAAAGAATTTCAGTAATTGCTGAATATGAAATGTAAGCTCCATTTATAGTGAAATCAAGATTCAATTTCTATCTTTTGCACAAGCGCAACGGACTAGATGCACCCTTCTTTTGGGTGGAAAACTTGGTTTCTATCTGATTAGTGTATGGATCACGGACACAACTACTATCAAGTTGTTTATTTTTGAATATGGGATAACTAATTCTCACGAGTATGTGTGATGTCTCCCTGTTGTTTAATACAGCAGTGTATACATATTTAAAGAATATAGTAGTATTACATGTGTATTAGATAGGAATATAAACGTACATGTTTGTATGCACATCTGCACATCTGTCATAACATTAGCTGAAAACCAGACTGATTTGTAAAATGTTTGATACAATTTTTTTGAAGGAACATGGAACAGAGAACTAATGTATGAAAGTTAGTTGTCTTTGATAGGAAAAAGAGTAATTGCAATCAGAGAAAATAGCTGTGTACAAGAGAGAGTAATTCTGCCTATATGGAAGTGAGAGTTGGTGTATCAAGAGTATAATAGGAATGTGGGGCACAGTGGCTCAGCAGTTAAAGATGCTGAAATTGTCAGCTGGAAAACTGACAGCCCGGTTTAAGACCCGAGTGCCAGGGGTGAGCTCTTGTTACTTACTCCAGCTCCAGCCCACCTAACTATTTGAAAGCATGTAAATGTGAGTAGATAAATAAGTACCACTTTGGTGGGAAGGTGACAGCATTCCATGCCCCTTGGTGTACAATCAGGCTGGCCAATGACCATAGAAACATCTTTGGACAATGTTGGCTATGGGGATGAGCCCTCTTAAGAGTCAGGCATGACTAGACAGAGGAAACTTTTATCTTTCATAACATGGAGTACAGTAAGACTACAGTAGGAATAGAGAGGGATTTAAAAGTTCATGGTATAAGGAAAGACAAGCACAATAAAGGAATCCTGAACAATATGGACTGAATTCAAGTTAGCGACCAATATATAGAGCAGCAGTCCCCAACCTTTCTGGTTCCGCAGACCACCAGCAGCAGTGATGATGGGGGGAGGGGATGGTTTCATGTGTGCACCCACCACTTGCACAAATGGAGTTTTGTGCACTTATCTGCCACTTGTGCAGCCCGATTCCCAACAGGCCATGGACTGGGACCAGGCTAAGAACCAGAGGTTGCGGACCCCTGATATAGAGGACACATATAGTGAGGAGAAAAAATTATTTGATCTCCTGCTGATTTTGTACCTCTGTGACTGCCAACAAGGGTTTTGCCACCAAGAACTAAATCATGTTTTGAGAAGGGGTCAAATACTTATCTCACTCATTAAAATGCAAATCAATTTATAACTTTTTTGTTTTTCTGGATTTTGTTGTTGTTATTCTGTCTCTCACTGTTAAAATAAACCTACCATTAAAATTATAAGACTGATCATTTGTCAGTGGGCAAATGTACAAAATCAGCAGGGGATGAAATAATTTTTTCCCTCACTGTATGGGCATGGTGTATATGTGTTTGTGTAGGAAATGACAAAGACTGGATATGGGTACAAGTTCAAGAGTGGAATTATCATTAGCCACCTTCTCTACATGAATGATATCAAGCTATATTCAAAGAATGAACATGACATCAACTTGCTGATCCACCTGACATAGACCTAGAGTGAGGACACTGGATAGCATTCAGAATAGTTGTGAGTGTGACTAGATGGTAATCAAGAGAGGAAAGATAATTAGGACTGGTGGGAAGGAAATACCAAGAGGTAGTAGACATACAGACCAGTTTCAAGTACTTTGGTATCCCACAGTCACATGGAAACCATCACGAGAAGGCAAGGAAGACGCCAACATATAAATATCATCAAATGATCAGACAGATCTTGAAGAGCCAGCTCATTGGTAAGGACAAGATCCACACCATCAATACCTATACCCTGCCAGTCATCAGATAATTGGCAGGTATAATAAATAGGCCAAAAAAGAATAGGGAAGTTGCCCGTGTAAAGACTGAAAAGCTCATCACAATGTACAGAGGTTTCCATCCCAAGTCCAACACCCAGAAATAGTACATCAGATGGAAAGAAGGCAGTCAGGGTTTGATAAGTGTCAAAGTCACAGTCATGGATGAAACTCATAGCATCCAACAGTATATCAATATGGCACTCAAATATGAGCTGCTGAGAGAATGCCTGAGGTAATTGCAGATGTGGGAAGAAGATCAAGCAAAGGAAGTGCCATGGCAAGACAAGACCCTGCATGGGATGTATTTCGACATATAACTAGGTGAAAAACAGTGGGAAATCCTACAAGTGGCTGGAAAGGGCTGGACTAAAAGACAGTACTAAGGCACTAATCAGAGCAGCACAAAAACAGCGCTAAGCACCAGATCCACAGAAGCAGAACCCTAGGTGCAGATTATGCAAAGAAAACTTAGAGACAATTCACATGTAATGAAAAAATGTAAGATGCAGACATGAACAGCATATACTGAATGGAACAACTAAATAGCTGGCATTGTGTACAGTAACATCTGTACAAATATGGGCTAAACCCTCCTAAGTCTAGATGGGAGATCCTACAGAAGGCTGTGGAAAATAAGAGGTCTAAAAGCCTGTAGGATTTCCAGAGCCAGCCAGAGAGGCAAGCATTGGCCAATCAACCAAACATTGTGACATTAGACAAAGACAACAAAAAACAGTGATTGTGCCAAGTGACAGTAACATCAGGAGAAAGAAATATGGGAAACTGGAAAAGTACCAGGCCTGAAAGAGGAACTGGAGAGGATGTGGAAAATTAAGGCCAAAATGGTCCCAGTGATAGTAGGAGCACTTTGATGCTGTGTCTCCTAGGCTGGGGGGCTCCAACAAATCCTGGATAGAACATCAGGGCTCTCTAGGAACAGCTAAGATACTGTGCAGAACCCTCAAGCTCCCTGGCCTCTGGTAGAAGATCCAAGATCACGAAAGACAGATCACGCATTAAGGGTGAGAAGAGAATTGATGATAGACAGATAGGCAGGCAGGCAGGCAGCTTTTAGTTAATTTAACATACTTTAATATAATGAGATCTAAATTGCTTTTTATTCTTGCTCCGTACATATTTTGATAGGCTTTACCTACTAGCACTGCAATGGAACATAACTCAGAGGACAAGTATGACCTTTGGATTAAGAAAATGAGTGTCCTGACACTTATTTTACATTACACTTATCACACATATTTTTCTCACTCATTAATTCAGCAAATAGAAAATGCAAAATTTTATACGCTAAGATTATTCTAATAATTACTGAACCATTTATTTATAAAATTGCATGAAGTTCAAATGCAGATGTTCCTAGATGTGTATATTTAATATTTTACAGACTCTGCTTATGGCTTTATTAAAGGAATAAAATTAAGGGGAAAAAGTTGCTCCCATCAAAAGTATCTGGGTGAAATTCTTAATTTATTTTATTGGTATATTTGTTTATTTCTTGGAGAAAATCCATCTATATAATTGCTAAGATTGATACCAACTTGATGTTCATAATCAAACTTATTTATTAATCACTAATATATTTATACCCAGAAATGTAAAATGCTTTCTAACAAAGGTGAAAAAAGTAGCCAAGGACTGATAAGAATATATACAGAATAGATTTTATGCTTAATTATCTAATTACCTGGAATCAAACAATGTTCCATCAAGAAGAGTACCATTATAGTGATACCTGAGGAAATCCCCAATTTGGGTTTGACGTTCACAGGACTTTGGCACATATAGTTTATCTACATTAATCCTGTCTTTAGGATTGTGTAGATCTAGAAGAGCTACATCAAAGACAAGAGAAGCTTGACCAGGTATTTCTTTCCCTGTAAACAAAGTATACAGAAAATAAACAAGCTGAATTTTTGAACATTTGCAAACATTTATTATACCTTATTTTGATATCAGTTTGAGGCTATCTGCATAATGTTCACTATTGGAATGAATAAAGCAGGCATATATCCAGTTTTGATTTCCTATATATCAGGGGTGTCAAACTGCCAACCTGCGGACACGTCATCCAGAAGCTGCGCCCACCCCATTGCCGGCAATGGCAAAACCATCCCGATACGTTGCGCGACATCACGTGACATCGCGAGTTTGACATGCCTGCTATATATTGTGGAACTTTTAGAACTTATTCTGCTGTTTTAAATGATTCAAATATTCTTGAGTAGATAAAGGCTTTGCTAACCTACATGAAAACCTCCAAATGAAATGGAGTAGCCCATCTCTGTTTCAATTTTATTTCTTGGAGACAAGATGTATATCCAAGTTTAAAGAATGTCACATTGTTTAAACTTAAAATTTATTTATATTTATTATTTAAAGATAATAATATAATTAGGCTTCTGTGTCTTCCTGTTTCTGTCGTATCAATTTCATTTTAAATTAAAAATCTGGTTTTGTTGGAACATGTTCAATTCACATGCAGATAAATCTGATTTGTGATAAAATAATGGGTGAGTCAGCTTCTAGAATCTGCTGTTATTTTTTTTACCCCCTTCTTGGGGAAGCTTTTTTATTCTTCCTCCCCTTCCTTGTAACATGGAAAAACAATGTTATTATTTAAAAATAAATAAACAAAAATAAGATGTTTATTAAATTTCATAAATTACTTCAACACCATATGCAATATTACAGAAAGAATCATGTTAAAATACTACAAATTATATAATAAAGGAGGAAGAGGAGGATTGAGATGAAGGAGAAGGAAGAGGAGAAGAAGGAAAAGAAATTTTATATGCTCCACTACTGAGTTAAATATTCTTTCAGTGGATTTTGCATATTTTAATTTTAATATTTTAATATTTAGTTTTTAAATATTAAATGTACTATATATGATTGGTTTTACTTACACATTGTTTTTATGGTGTTTTGTATGCCACCCAGAGAATCTTTGGTCAGATGGGCAGCCATATAAATTAATTAATACAAGTAGCCAACCACAATAATTTTTGATCAGATGGGCAGCCAAATAAATTAACAACACATAAAATTTATGCTGTTCAAATATAACAATTATTTGTATTAGAGCACACTTTAGAATGTCCATTAGGAATGAGTAAACTTTCAGATTAGTCAAAATACAGTAAAAATCCTGCTGATTTCTCTATAAAATAGCAAAATAATTCACCATCTCCATCTTCTCCATATGCCAAGAAGGGTGGTACTGTGATTATGCGCTTTTCTCCTACACACATTCCAAGAAGACCTTTGTCCATTCCAGGGATCAACCACCCAATTCCTACATAGGTATCATATGTTCGCATTCGATTGTGACTGAAAATATAAATAAATTCCAGTGAATTCCAGATCATTTTAATTCAGAGAGTAACAAGATTAAATATAACAAAATAAGAGGATGTGGATTTGACTTGTTCTCAATACACACATACATATGTACGCGTGCGTACATGCACACGCACACACATTTTATGTTCACTACAGCTATCCGTGGTGAAGAAACACCTGTCTTCATCAGGAGTCTTGAGAAATGTTGTTAAATATAATGTGCCTGGTAGGTCAGATCAAGGACACAGCATTTTAGTATATTATGTAAAGTGGTGCATTGGGAACTCTGTTAAATCTGGGTAGAAGAGCACATCCACTTTTGCCCCCAGCTGATATTTAATGTGTGCTATAATTCAGAAGACTACACAGAGCATTGACAAGTAGCCATTAAAGGTCCAATCTAAGTGTCATGGATGGCAGAAAAGTCAATACATCATGAAAAAGAGTCTCATGGATGGCAGAGAACTCAACACTTTTAATTATGCACTAATAAATATGTGCCATGCTTTAGATCTTAAGGCAGAAATATGCATCAGACTATGTGGAGGTACCAATGTACCACTGTCTCCAAATGCTTAAAGTGACAATACCTTTGTCCAGATTCATATAACAGCCCTCCATAGCTGCAGTGTGAAATCTAGAAATACACATTTGGTTTCAGGAATTGCAAATATGTGTTATGTATATGTATCTTTCTATCATCAAATAAAAATCTCTGAACTTTTCATAAATTCTTCCTTTTATCAGTCCTGTATAGTATTTAGCTACTGTTAGTAGTAGACATTTGTGAGGGAGGGGAAAAAAAGACAAACAATAGAAAAAGGAGGCAAAAAAAGCCTCAGACGGAATAAACTATAAGGATCACCAAACCAAATAAGACTAAACTTGATAATGAGGGGTTTTCAATATCCCAACATTTTGATCTTATATTATTTTAAAACTGTAGATCACTATTAAAATTTAAGTAATACATAAATATCATCAGCAAGAATCAGCACAGTATAAATCAATATAATAAGATGTAGAATAAATTTCTATCCAAGCAGTGCAAATGTTAAACTTATTTAACAGACCACTGAAAATTAAAACATTGATTTTATTCTAGTAGAAATTTACAAAACCAAATAGTTTCCAAGTTGGATTTAACATTGAATTTGACTGGATGACATTCAATGTTTATATCCCCCAACACATGAAAAAGACAAAATATTTTATTGTTACCTTGAGTCAAATAGTGTTCCATCCAAAAATGTTCCATTATAATGGTATCTTATAAAATCGGACACCTGAATTGTCCTTGAACAATTTTCTGGCTTGTAATATGTCTGAATTTCAACTTGGTCTTCAGAATTCCAAACATCAACCAGAAGGACATCAAAATTCAGAACTGAATTTGCAGGAATTACACTGGCTGTGGATGCAAAGGATATTAAAAAGGAATTAAATCAAATTCTTCATCAGCTACCAGTATTTTTTTTTAAAAAAATCTGTTTTTCTGATTATTGTATCCAACATCTTGTACCACCAATACAAAGAAATAAAGAGAATGCTAAGTCTTTTTTAAATTTATGCACAATACAACAAATATATCAGTTATCATATTTTAACAAAATTACATTACAGAAACCTAACATTTTTAATAATCTAACATCCATCCATTAGGTCAGACATGTCAAACACAAGGCCCATGGGCCAAATCTGCCCTGCCGTGTGTTTACATCTGGCCCACGGAGCTGCCCTGAAAACAACAAAGGACCGGCCCAGTCCAGGCCGAACCTTGGCCCAGTCCAGGCCGACCAAGCGCTGATCTACAACCTAGTGCCAGCCATCAAACCCAGGACGTGCTCAGCCTTAGATCCATGGGGCAGCCCTAAAACCAGCAAGAAGGGGCTGTCCCCGCCCCACCCCCTAGGCACGCATGCAGGAGGCAGCAAGCAGGCAGAGTCCAGAGTCCCTGCTGATCATCTTGCCCTGCTGACTGACTTCACCCAGGATGCCAGCACTCACTGCCTCTTGTGCACCTGGGCAGAGCAGAGGTGGTGGGGCGGCTCCTTGCTAGTTCCAGGGCTGCCCCATGGATTTAAGGCTGAGCACATTCTTGCTTTGATGGACGCTATCAGGTTGTAAATCAGTGCCACACACCCCCCAACCAGCACTTCCACAGCCCTAGTCTTGTAGCCACGAGGCTTCCCTTTCACCATGACTGGCCCTGCCTGCCCACGTGGGATAGCGACGGCCAGCGGCAGCATGGCCACTAGCAGCGCTGGCAATCTCTCCCCCTCCCATTGTTACTTCCTGAGTGCAGAGGAAGGAAAGAGATGAGAATGTGAATCAGGGAAGGAAGAAAGATGGAAATGAGGAGGAGGAAGACAGTGAAGGAGGGAGGGAGGGAAGAAGGAAGGAAGGAAGGAAGGAAGGAAGGAAGGAAGGAAGGAAGGAAGGAAGGAAGGAAGGAAGGAAGGAAGGAAGGAAGGAGAGGCAACTTGTTTGGAGATACCCCAATTCACGCAGTTCTGCTTCAATCCTGGATCCATTGAGACTTGGGCTCAAAGGAGAAAGCAATATCATGTTCTGTTTTGTCACAGACAGAACTTTGTTGCAATCCAAGTTAACATTGGCATTCTTAAGTTGTGAACTCTTAGGAAAGTATCCCCTTGTGTGTTGCAAACAGCCTTTTCCAGTGGGGAAAGCAGGAAAAAGCATGGTGGGGAAAAACATTTTCCTTTGTCCTTACAGGAGAGGCCTTTTAAGGATTATGTATTAATAGAAAAACAACTAACTTACCTCTGTTCCTAAATGCTAAAACTGTTGCACTTAAAAAACAGAGGAGCTCTGATCAACTATCACAGCCACCATTTTGACAGTTTTGCTATACTGTTGTCTATGGATGCCCCCACTAAATGCAAGCTTGGGATAAACTGGGCCTGGATTGTTCTCAGTCATCTAAGTGGCCAGAAACTACTAGTAAAAACAGCATTTGATCACAAGGCAATGAGGCATCAAGAAATGTTTCTCCTTTGGCATTTGAGTATCCAAGAATGGACAGGAAAAAAGGAAAGAGGGAAAGAGAGCAAGAGGGAAAAAGAAGAAAAGAGGAGAAGGAAGAAGGAGAATGAAGAGGGAAGGAAAAAAGAAAAGGGGGAAAGGAAGGGAAGCGAAAGGAAGGTAGGTAGATTATAATGAGAGGGAGGGAGGGTCTGAGGGAAGTCTTGCCTTAACACTTGGCCACGAGCAGTCCTGCTGACCTTTCACCATCCCCTTGTCCCCTCCTCCTGATCTCTCCCGGTGATCTCCCATCCTATCCTTGAAAATGCTTTGGTTACAAACTCCCTCGCATGGAGAGGGAGTGGGCCTCCCTCTGACCTGCACATTTTGGCCTCCCGCACACACCATGAGCAACTTGGCCAAGGAGAGCAAGCCAATCAGCAGCAGCCTTGAGGAGGAGGTAAGTGCAGCCGGGCACCCCCTTGGGGAAGGCTGAACTGGGTAGTCACCCTCCACTGCCCAGGACTCTGAGTATCCTGCATCTCTGGAGGTCCTCTACATGGCCTGAGAGGGACAGCAAGGCTCCTCTGGTGGACAAGAGTATGGTGCTCCTCCTGGTTTTGCCTTCTTCTGCTGGAGCCAATGGATCTGCCTAGCCCCGTCTGGGCCATCCTCTTGGTCACGCCCATGCCAGCCCCCCCAAGGTCAACCACAACCCTGATGTGGCCCTCAATGAAATCGAGTTTGACACTCCTACATTAGGCTAATGCAATGAATTATTTTTTAAAGAGGTCAAGAGATCAATTCTAACTATGACTATATTAACACAACACAATGTACACAACAATTAATTGATACAGAACAACCCTGCCCCCGGCAATCTAAAAATTATAGGGCTATCAGTGCATGTAGTATAGATGTGTGTGTCGACAAGAATACCAACCTTGCTATCAAGCAAAATGAAGCCTCTAATAGCAAGTGCCACACAAAGTGCACTAACCAAATAGGTGGTAAGACAATAGGGGAACTCAGGCACCACACAGGTTATGTAGAAAGTAAACACAGGGCCAGTCACAAAGGACTCAAATGTCTATACACCAATGCACAGAGTATGAACAGCAAACAGGGTGAACTAGAAATTCAGGTTAATGAGGACAGATATGATATTGTTGCCATTACGGAAACATGGTGGGATGAAACCCACACATGGAACACACAGCTAGAGGGATTTAAATTATTTAAAAGAAACAGATCAAATAAAAGAGGAGGTGGAGTTGCTCTCTATATAAGAAATAACTACATCTCTACAGAAATAGAGCACAACAATGATAAAAACTGTCTTGAATGCATTTGGGTCAATATAAAAGGGGGAAAAATGACATTGCTATAGGTGTACACTACAGACCACCCAACCAAACAGAGGACATAGATGAACTTTTTGCTAGTCAGCTAACTAAAGTATGTAGGAATCACATCACCATAGTAATGGGGGACTTCCTGACATCAACTGGAAGACAAACTCTGCACCAAGTGGAAGATCAAACAGGTTCCTGGCAAACCTAGCAGACAACCTTGTCTCCCAAAAAGTAGAGAAGGGAACTAGGGGATTAACCATTTTGGATCTAATTCTCACTAACAGAGATGAAATGATAGAAGGTGTTGAAGCCATAGGAACCCTGGGAGGAAGTGATCATGCAATATTGGAATTCAACATCATGGAAACACAAGCAATAGACCACAGTCAAACTAGAGTCTTGGACTTCAAGAGAGCTAATTTCAATAAACTTAGAGAAGGTTTGGAAAGGATTCCATGGATGAGAATCCTCAAGGGGAAAACAACTCAAGAAGCTTGGGAAATTTTGAAAAATGAGATAATAAAAGCACTTGTTGTTGTTGTTGTTAACTGCGAAGTCGTGTCCGACCCATCGCGACCCCATGGACAATGTTCCTCCAGGTCTTCCTGTCCTCTACCATCTTCTGGAGTCCATTTAAGTTCACACCTACTGCTTCAGTGACTCCATCCAGCCATCTCATTCTCTGTCGTCCCCTTCTTCTATTGCCCTCAATCTTTCCCAGCATTAGGCCCTTCTCCAGTGAGTCCTTCCTTCTCATTAGGTGGCCAAAGTATTTGAGTTTCAACTTCAGGATCTGGCCTTCTAAAGAGCAGTCGGGGTTGATCTCTTCTAGGACTGACCGGTTTGAACGCCTTGCAGTCCAAGGGACTTCGCAGGAGTCTTCTCCAGCACCATAGTTCAAAGGCCTCAATTCTTTGGCGCTCAGCCTTTCTTATGGTCCAACTTTCACAGCCATACATTGCAACTGGGAAAACCATGGCCTGGACTATACACACTTTTGTTGGCAGGGTGATGTCTCTGCTTTTTAGTATGCTGTCTAGATTTGCCATAGCTTTCCTCCCCAGGAGCAAGCGTCTTTTAATTTCTTGGCTGCAGTCCCCATCTGAGGTGATCTTGGAGCCCAGAAAAATAAAATCTGTCACTACCTCCATTTCTTCCCCATCTATTTGCCAGGAATTGAGAGGGCCGGATGCCATGATTTTGGTTTTCTTAATGTTGAGTTTCAAGCCAACTTTTGCACTCTCCTTCTTCACCCGCATCAAGAGGCTCTTTAGTTCCTCTTCACTTTCTGCCATTAGAGTGGTATCATCTGCATATCTTAGGTTGTTGATATTTCTCCCGGCAATCTTAATTCCAACTTTTGTTTCATCTAGCCCTGCCTTTCTCGTGATGTGCTCTGCATATAAGTTAAATAGGCAGGGCGACAGTATACAGCCTTGCCAGACTCCTTTTCGAATTTTGAACCAATCAGTGGTTCCGTGTCCAGTTCTCACTGTTGCTTCTTGACCCACATATAGGTTTCTCAAGAGACAAATAAGGTGGTCTGGTATTCCCATCTCTTTAAGAACTTGCCACAATTTGTTGTGATCCGCACAATCAAAGGCTTTAGCATAGTCAATCAAGCAGAAGTAGATGTTTTTCTGGAACTCCCTAGCTTTCTCCATGATCCAGCATATGTTGGCAATTTGATCTCTAGTTCCTCTGCCTCTTCGAAATCCTGCCTGTACTTCTGGTAGTTCTCGATCCACATACTGCTGGAGTCTAGCTTGTAGGATTTTAAGCATAACTTTACTAGCATGTGAAATGAGTGCAATGGTGCGATAGTTTGAACATTCTTTGGCATTGCCTTTCTTTGGAATTGGAATGTAAACTGACCTTTTCCAATCCTGTGGCCACTGTTGAGTTTTCCAAATTTGCTGGCAAATTGAGTGTAGCACTTTTACTGCATCGTCTTTTAAGATTTTGAATAGCTCAGCTGGAATACTGTCACCTCCACTAGCTTTGTTGTTGCTCAGATTTTCTAAGGCCCATTTCACTTCACATTCTAGGATGTCTGGTTCGAGATCAGTGA